ACAGTATTTATTCTCATTATGAATTTTTTCAATTATTGAATATATATATTTTAAAGTCATGTTTATATTTGCATTTGGGTGTCGATAAACCACACCACAGATAATATTATGCTGATGATTACTCTCAATTTCAATCCATAAAGATTCATGTTCATTGTCAGAGGTGCATAGATCTTCTCTCTTATTGAAAGCAACAGATGTTTTTTATATAAAAACAGATGTTTTTATATAAAAACCCACTCCTCCAGCATTTGACACTGTTGGTTGTGAGATAAAATTATATCCCGGCGGATCAATATTAATAATGGGATCACCACCATGCTTAATTTTGGTTTCAGATAAACCAATTACAGAAAACGAGTGGTTTAGGTTAGACAGTAGAGTACATAATGGGTCAAAATTTGCAGAAAGACTTCGAATATTAAGGTGAAGAGTAGAAAAAGACTTATTGTAAGATAAATTTGTAATTTCTTCACTTGAATGGAATTGATGGGGAGTATAATAGCTGAAGTTTGTTTCACATGGTAAGTGTAGATCAATGTCATGGTCGTTAAGATGAGCGCTATTACTTATGGAGGTCATTATATTGTAACATGGTAAATTTTCTAGCCTAGCAGAAGATATATTACATATGTTTGAACTCTGGCATGATAAAATAGAATTAGAAAAAAACAATTCAGAAATTGATTGGTTATCACAGTTTTGAAATGGAAATATATCTAATAAACATTCGGGGCAAGTCCAATCCAAAATACCACCTTTGATTTTGTTCAGGTAATTATACTCCTTAATGGAAAAGGTGTGCATTTTTGATGATAATGATGATTGCAAATATCCCACTGAACTCTTCTCTTGATCTTAACTAGTGAGTTTTTGCATTTATGACAATGGAAGTTAGTATTAGAACTCATTATTCATTAAATAAATCTTTTATAATTAATAAATTAATGAAGTAAAGGCAACTTAGCTGATAGACCGTACAAATAAGGTTTATGAAAGAGTTGACAACTTTTCAAGATCCTTTTCAGATGAATTAATGGTCACAACACGTGTTCTCTCATTTTGTCTCATAAATATTTTCCCATTCTCGTCCATATGAATTTATATTCAAGTGTCTTCTTTGTTTCTAAGCTTTTGTTAAATAATATTAAGTTTAGTGAGACTCTCACTGATAAAGATTGGATTTTCTGCAACCTTGCTGAGGCCGAAATTACGTGTTGCTTTTCCCCTCAATCCCTTACGAGATTGATAGAATCTATCTCTGATATTTCTGCCCGTAAATTTAACGATGATCATCGGGTCCTGATTTTGTCGTGTTGAGTATGATGTTGGCAAGCGATGACTGATGTCCTCATCTTTTACATCTACACCCAACTCATTGGCCAAATGCATCACCAACGAGTCAGTATTCTCGCCCTCACGTTGTGGTATTCCTTTAATTTCCAGGCAATCTCGCCTAATATATTGTTCGAGGTCATTTGCAATGTCTCTTTGTTCTTGAACTTTGATTGTGAGTCTAGAAACTTCATTTTTTAGACGTTGATTTTCTTGGTTGGTTTCTTTAATTACTTCTTCGGATTTGGTGAATTTTTGCTCAATAACATCATACTGTGAACTTAAAAAGTCCATAGAGTGAATAACCTCATCTAATTTTCCTCTCACATCGTTTATATTAGTTAATACTGGCTTTAACTTTTCATTGAATAACCTCTCTAAAAGTTCACGTGTTTGAATTGATATATCCATTAGTAGGCAAACATATTAAGCATCAAAATAAATAAATATTATTAGGTATATTGATTTGTTTTAAAATCAAATATTGAGAGCTAAAATTTTGGTCGCCATCTCGTTTCGCTCGCCCCTGGATCTCTCTGGGCCTGTTGGAAACGAATCGCGGCAATTAACCCACACCAGCAATCTCCCTCAAATGTGCCTCCGAAGAAGTTGAGTGTAAGAATGATGTCCTTGTACAAGAACTGAAGAGATTTTGGGACTTAGAAACTCTCGGTATTCAACCACAGTGTGTGTACGAAGAATTCCTAGAAAGCATTAAGTATGAAAATAATCATTATGTGGTCAATTTGCCATGGAAACCTGATCATGCTAAACTGCCTGATAACTATGATCTTAGCAAGAAACGTCTATTAGGGTCGCTGTCCTTCAGGAATATGACAATGTGATAAGAGATCAGCTTAACAAAGGAATTGTGGAGTCTGTGCTCGAGTCAAATGAAGAAGCACAGAGAGTGCACTATTTACCTCATCACGCAGTTATCCGGCAGGATAAAGCAACAACCAAATTGCGAGTAGTGTACGACACCTCGGCGAAGTCAAGAGGACCTTCGCTTAATGACTGTCTGTATAGTGGTCCCTCGCTGACTCAGAACATTGTTGACATTATGCTAAGGTTCCGGTGCATACAAGGTGGCCTTAACGGGAGATATCGAGAAGGCCTTTCTCATGATTCATGTAGCAGAGTCTGATAGGGATGCATTGAGATGATTTCTGTGGGTCGATGATATACACAGCCCAAACCCTAAGATTATCCCACTTCGATTCACCAGAGTAGTGTTTGGCGTATCCTCCTGTCCTTTTCTACTAAACGCCACAGTCAAACACAACATCGAGCAATATCGGGAATATGACCCTAGTTTCGTGGAAGCCGTTCTGAATTCGATCAATGTGGATGATCTTATTTCCGGAGGTGAAAATGTGGACAATGCATTCAAACTCTATGAAGATTCAAGGAGCCGATTGGAAAAGGCTAACTTTAATTTGCGAAAGATAACCACGAACTCTAAAGAACTCCAAGAGCGGGTATGTCAAACCAACCAACTAGTGACAGTGAACAATGCATCTGACGGAAATAACATGGCCAGAGCTGATCGCAACAAGTCCCAGCAGTTGGTTCAGGAGGAGCAGTCATCTTACACCGGAAATACGTTGGGTCCTCCCCTTCCAGCAAGCGATGACAAGGAGAAAATTCTCGGAATCTTATGGAATTCTTACGAGGACAATCTTATTATTGATATCAAGGATGTTGCAGATTTGGCGCAGATGGTTCATGCTACGAAGAGAAATGTGATCAGTGTTTCATCAGTGTTTCTTCCAAGATTTATGATCCTATGGGTTTTATATCCCCATTGACAATCAGTTTCAAGCTGTTGTTTCAAGAACTTTGTCTGGCGAAGGGTGACTGGGACCATCCACTTGGAGGAACACTGAAAAGCAACTGGCAGAAATTAGTTGATAACCTAAACGTCGTCCAACTTGTTGTTATTCCGAGATGCTATATTTCTGACATACACGAGCAAGTTGTATTCTACGAGCTTCAGGGGTTTTGCGATGCCTCTATCAAAGCATATGCTGCCGTAATATACTTCAGAATCATCACACATCCTCTTCAATTGTGTCACCTGCAAGAAGCAAGATGGTAGAGCATACAAGGCACTTAACTCTCCGCCATTGCCGGAGTTTAGAGTAAAGGAAGCACCACCGTTTACATACGTTGGCTTGGACTACGTCAGTCCTTTATATGTGAAATCTACGAACGATTTAGACGAGAAAGCATGGATTTGTTTGATTACATGTTGTGTTTCTAGAGCGGTACACCTTGAAGTTGTTCCCAACATGACACCACAAGCCTTCCTGAGAAGTTTTAGGAGATTTACGTCACGACGTTCGACGCCATTGCTTGTCGTTTCGGACAACGCGAAAACCTTTAAGGCTGCGTCCAAAGAGTTAATGACACTTATGCGTGATCCTCAAGTGAAGAAATATTTCTTGCAGCAACGAATGCAGTGGTCGTTTAATCTGAAGAAAGCCCCGGGTTTCTTTGAGCGGCTTGTGGGATCATTGAAACAATGTTTGAAGAAAACTATCGGAAAGGCAAGATTGTCTTATGACGAGCTAGTTACAGCTGTCACGGAAGCAGAATCGATCCTGAACAGTCGACCCTTATCCTATGTATTCTCCGAGGACGTCGAGGAACCCTTCACCACAGCCCATCTTCTGAGCGGAAGACGGATCCTGAGTTTACCTCATCGTCATCAAGACAACCCTGAAGATGAAGATTTTCAAGTCGACCTATCGACGAATGACCTCAACAAACGAGTTCGCTATCTAAATGACATTATTGAACAATTTTGGCGAAGATGGCGGAACGAGTATTTGGTAGAGCTGAGAAATGCACATAAGAGTCCCAAGAAAACAGTAGAGAAATCTTCTGTGGAAGTTGGAGATATAGTACTAGTTCACGACGAGAACCATTCGCATAGTTTCTGGAGAATTGGAAGAATAAAGGAACTTGTCAATAGCACGGCTGATGGGAAGTCGAGAGGTGCAGTTGTACGAGTCATGAGCAAGAAAGGGAAAGTTACTACATTAAGGCGTCCATTACAGCTGTTCTTTCCTATGGAGATTAACTGTAAACTTGCGAAAGACGAAGTACAATTGGAACAAAAGAATGGTGCTCAGGAGTCAACTGAATCCGAAAGACCAAGAAGAAGAGCGGCGATCACAGGTGAACTGTTGATAAGACATTGGATTAAGGACATGAACCAGGTTTAGGGTAGTTGTAGATATACTGCATAGTAGTGTTATATAATTAAGAACATTCCAATGAAGCTTCACGAACAGTCGTAGGGTGTTGGTCATATAAGATACATGTCCAACAGAGGGAGTGTGACGTATGCTTGTGTTTTGTTGAAATTATCGTTAGGGTTCGCTGTGGCATAATCAATTTAATATATGCAAAATGGCGCGTAAAGAAACGTTTTCTACTTTTCTGTACGTTGAGATGTAATATCTCTTGTGTAATATGTTCAATTTTGTTCTGAGTTTACATTAAATATTACGATAATACAGTCCATCGAAGTTTTCATAATAACAGTCGTAAGTCAAACTTGAATCCAAATTCATTTCCAATTCTTTAACCGTCTGAAGTGGGATTATTTTCTCACCAACAACAGTTATATGGAAATCTGCGCCAGAGAGTTATTTCAGCATTTGACTTGTACCCAGTAATAGAAGTTTCGTTTTTTTTGGATTCACTAGCAGACTATTTATACAGCACCATGCGGTAATTCTTTCCATATCTTAATTGTGTAAGTTTAAACGCAGCAGTTTCAATATCCTGAATTGGAAATGCCAGATAGATTTTCGAATCATCCACATAAGATTCCAAAGAGGACTCTTTTGGAACATTATGCACTCAGGTGAAGATATACGTTTGTGATGTTGTCTTATCATACTTAATAATAACGTTAATATAAACACTGAAATAACTAATTTCAGTGTTTATTATTATCATACCCGCATGCAGAAACACTAAACGTACACAGGGACCGCGGAGCCTGTATAAAAGTGTGAAGGGCAATGCAGGGA